ATGAATTGGTACAATTAATATATACATATAGAGGGGTAGGTACGCCCTTCGACAAACAGAGATGGTAACGCCCATTCGGTTCTGAAAAATATTGAATTTGAATTAGAAGATGCCGACACAGCGGGTGATTGCAAAAGTTTGTGAAAGTAGGTAATTGTACATTTGCGAACCATCCCTGTTTGTTGATGTCCAGTTCAAAGAGATTCCCAGGCGTGCCTATGAATAAATCTTTTCAAAGTGATAATAAAAATTTGTACAAACTAACAACTATCGTAAACTAATATAAATATAAAACTTAACTTACAGCACGTCTTCTAAATATTACAAAAATATATACAATGACTATACACAATGATTATATACAATTAACAAGGACCGAACAATATATATATATATCACCGGAAATGTATGAAATCTAGGAATTGTATATAATTCCTAGAAAATGTATACAATTTCGAAGTTATTTAGGAAATGTATAAAATATTGTTTCCAAGATTCTTTAATACACACATATCCTAGATAGTGTATACATTTCCTAGGAATTGCATGAAATTCAGATATTGTACTAGGAAATGTATAAAACTAATGCTTTCTGTGAATAAAATACTCTAACATATCAGCTTGGATTCGGCGGACAAGGGCATTGGATAATCTCCAATTTATCATAAATATTTATGAAATAACAATATTTCCTAAATAGCCTCAGAATTGTATACGTTTCCTAGGAATTGTATACAATTCCGAGGTTATTTAGGAAATGTATCAAATATTGTTTCCAAGATTGTTTAATACACACATATCCTGGGAAATGTATACATTTCCTAGGAATTATATTAAATTTCGATATTGTACTAGAAAATGTGTAAAACTAATGCCTCCTGTGAATAAAATACTCTAATATATCAGTTCGCATCCGGCGGGCAGGGGCATTGGATAAACTTCAATTTGACATAAATATTTATAATATATCTAACAATATTTCCTAAATAGACTCGAAATTGTATCTATCTTACGGAGAACCACTACTTCGTTATAACCGATCGGATCTGCTAATTTCCGTTCAAAACGGTTCGTTAAATCCGGCTGTTCCTTACAAATGTGTTCGTTATATCCATTTATGAATAACACGTGTTTAAATAGACTGTAATTTTGTTCCTTAAATTTCTTTCGTTAACACCAAGCGTTCGTTATAGCCGAGTTCGACTGTATTTATATATTTCATCAGTATTCAGAAAGTTATTAGATTTAAAACAATTGGAAGAATTTTTTCTCACCTTTCTTGACGTGTCCTGTTTGGAAGGACAATAAATTTGTATCCAGGAATTTTGGTATATTTACAAAATCTTTTTAACTGGTAAAGCAACATACTTCTTTAATAACAATTTGAAATAGTCCAAGTGCGTTGTAGCTTAGGTACTTATTTTTAACTTGAAGAGAAAGTAGGGGGCTGGTTAACATTAATTTTCTGAAACAGTAATTTCCTTCTAGTAGAGGAAATTATGCCGGATGCTATCAATATTAAATGAACTGGAAAACATTATCATTTGGAAGGATCTTCCGGTAATTACATAGGTAAAGCGGATATTGGGTTAAAATTGTGTTATTTGATTTCGATTAGAAAATTCAGGTAAAAATTAAATTTCCGTAAACCAATTTATAAATAAACATCAACCTCGGTTAGGGTATTTAACAGACATTATATTAATTTATTTTATATTTGTAACTTATTTTAGTAAAAATAATGAGCGAGTTTTTGTAAAACAATTGTTGCGTCAAATCATCGGAATGGGAATTAAAAAGTAAAAAAATATTAATTACAATAATGTTTATTTAATTATTTGCTGAAACAACAGATGTCGACACCTTCTGCAGGAAAATTGGGTTTTCTTACTAGGGGTACAAATTCTTCAATTTGTTAGAGATTAGACCAGGAAGTAATGCTGCAAAATATAAAATTATTTTGTAGAAAAATTATAGTGTAGGTATCTAGTCCTCCAAGGTAGGCTAAGAAGG